TAATATCGTTTAAGATGAAAATTAAGTACCGATTCTTTGATTAATTTTTTTTTAAATTCGATGAAATTTATTTACCAAACAAATTCTCGAGAGATTTAACAAATTACGAGAGATCCGGTTAATATCGATTAAGAGGAAATTTAAGTGCCGATTAAATTCGCTACAAAAGCAATTAGTATCGATCCTTCATTCGATACTATTGAAAATATGTTTCCAATTTCTATTTCTCTCTTTCTCTCTTTCCATTTGACACAAGTTGCCGCTAAACACGCTCTTCCTCCAACAATTACGACGCGCAACGTCATTTTTCAATTCGATGAAATTTAGTTACCAATTCTCGAGAGCTCGACGCCTCAACAAATTACGAAAGATTCGTTTAATATCGATCAAGAAGAAAGGAAATTAAATTAACCGATCCCCTTAATTAAATTCGAATACACGAGCAACTAGAACACACTACTTTAATACCCATCAACGGGAAGACCAACCCGAATTCAATGCCCTACCCTAAATTCAACACGAACTAAATTTTCCTTGCACCGGGTATGTACACACGCGAAAGCCTGCTTCGAATTTCATCGTAGAGACACCGGTTCGAACCTGTGTCTCATGTTTTAGTTAACGTTTCATCTCCCATGTTTCAATACATATTCAACGCGTTCGCACATCCCCCTCCTCCTCCACTCCTCCGCAACCGTTTCCAAGCCCTAGAAAAAAAAAAAAAAAGAAAAACCAACCACCCCCATCGAGAAAGATAGCTTCTCCCTTTTAAAGCCTTTTATTCGAAGCGTTGTTCCAAGCCCTCTCGCATCTCACCATTTGTCCGCGTTAGGCTCGAGGATAGGATAGGATTGGATACAGCAGAGGCGACAAATTATCCGACTCTGATCCTCCCGATTGATGCGTTTCGTCGATTGGTGCGGTTCGCTAATTCCGTACGTGCGAATGGAAAGTGACGTCCGTTGGGGGAGGGGAGGAGGCTGTGGATTATTCTCGTGACGAAATATCGCGCGGCTGGTATCCCTGCGTCGCGTGCAATCGAACCGATTGCTGGCCGATCGGCTTTGCCTCTCGGAAAGGTCACGAAAGAATAAAAAGGAACGGAGGAGAACGTTTCATCGATGGAATTAACCCTCCAACGATGACCGAGAGTCCTCGATTTGATACTACAATTCGACGATATTTATTTATGTTCGATTTTTTTAAAATTTTATGAATGGATTCCTAGGCTCTTTGATTATAATGATCTTGTAAAACGTAGAATAATGTAGATTTTTTTTTATACGAAATTAGACAGTGATCGAACTACATTTTCGATAGATATATTATTTTCAAAGTTTTCGAGTTTTGTGGAATGAAATTAGTACAAGCGAAAGTGAGTTTGAGTTTTCGTTATTAAATAACGAAATTATTTCTATTCGTTGAGAAATTGATGCTGGAGGGTAGAAAAATAGCGATAAAAATAGAGGATGTAAGAAGGTGAAAGATAAGGATAATAGACGGTGAATGTGAGAGCGCGTTATTGTAAAGTTTGCTCTCGATAAAATAAGAAAGATGAAAGTGATACTTGCCCTGACAAATCGAAGATCTTGGTAATTACATTGTTATTAAAATATCGCACGAGACAACAATATAAACTTTAATATTCGACAAATTTTCACTTCTTTACGTGTAAAGATACATTTAATTTATTTGTGAAATCATTTTAAGAAATTCACCGTACGAATGTAAGAAATCACCTGCAATTTTTCGTTCGCCCGAACGAAAAAGGTTAAACCGAAAATTGTCATTTCATTGTTTAACCGTCGAATCGGGGATAGGATAGAATCGAAGAAATAGAATAGAATCCAGTTTTCCATGGATTATATGTAAGCAAGTACGATTCTCGTCCAGAAAGAAATGACAGAGGGCGCATTTCATCGATGAGATCGCTCTGTTCCACTTAGATGGATCTATTTATTCCTTTCCTTCTTAGAGCGATTTCTTCTTCGAAAGTATGATTGTTTTGGCCAGAATTGGATTACGTTATGTCGAAAAGATAAAGTATTTGAAGTGATTACTTGTTAAAATTCGTGAATAACATTTATTCTTTGGTGCATAACTTAAACCGTTTTGCTACAATTATTATCGCGATTATCAAATTATGAATCAGTGAATTATCGAGGTAACTTATTCGTAGCTTCAACTATTAAATTTTCCTCATCAACTGGTTTCAAAATAGGAAATGAACATTTAAAAAGAGAAACAGAAAGATTCGTATATTTCTACGTATCAGCACTACCTATCGGTAAACTATAAAACTATAAAAGAGAAAAGAAAATTGGAGCACTCTGTATACGCTTTTCCTCCTGTGTCCCCTTATTATTCGAATCGAGATTCGCCTAATGGGCCGTGTTTCGTCGTTTCGACTCCCGGTGTCGCGGCCACTTTTAATTAAAAGTTCCCAATTAAACGCGACATATAATTAGGAACGATCGCTTGAACTCGAATAACCGCGTGGTGGGTAATAGGCCGCGGATTTATGACCCGTTTCGGGCCGGATCATTTGCTGGAGGGGTATCAATGATCGTGGAATGATCGTATTGATCCGCTCGTGGGGGCTTATTAGTGGTAATGCTCTGTGGCGAGGGGTTGATGGGGGAACGGGTAGGGATTCTCGATTTCATTTGATGATTTGAGTGGATTTTTGGCCATCGATGGTGTGGATTCGAGCCACTTGATACCGCGTGAAATGTAATGATTATATATATTTTGACGATTGATAATGATCATTACGTATTGTCGAGATACGATTTAATATAATTTAATGTATAATTGCGTCGATTAAATGGAACGATTTATGGAATTTAGATAATTGATTGGAATAATTTGGGGGGAGGGAAAAAATTTAATGCAATATTAGATTGTTTGATTAAATTTCAATCCGCGTAAATATCAATTTATGGCGTTGGTTTGGAATCGATTTTTATACGATTTATCTCGATTGCTGAAGAAACTGGTGCTTCTTATCGTTGAAATCTCTTCAAGCGACGAAGCACTCTCTCGAAGTATCCCTCGTAATATCAATCCTTGCAAGGATTATAGCTTCCTATTCGGGCTTGGACACACTTTATTCGAAACAAAAATGAAAATGTCAACGTTGAATAATAAATTATTTCGATTATCTTTGTTTCGTTTCGTTTCAAAAATTACTAAACAATTTCTCTAACGTTAGCATTCTTCCATAAAAGCGATAGAAAAAAATTCTTAATTTAAGAAGATCCAACGACTCGAGTTATCAAGTCGAACGAAGAAAAGTGAAGTATAGAGAGCATAGAAAGTGTGTATATCCGAGCAATCTCGTAATCCTTCTCATCCGCCATTGAATAAACTGGGCCGTAACTTCCATTAGGCCACGGTAAAGCAACAATTTCGGCGGCGAGAACGTGTCTGGCGTCGGTGTCGGGGCGCGCAACGCGACTTTTATGACGGCAAGACGAGCCCGAGTCGATTAACTTAATTAGACAATCGCCTAATGAATTCCAGGATGGTGGCCCATTAAAACGGCCAGGAGACGGCCGAGTGAAGCGCATCCTTAATCGTTTTCTCGTATACGATGTGCCGTAGAATGGACTCCGCTATCATGAGCCTCGTAAATAGAGCTTTATCGCTTTTCGTTTGACACCGTTTGCACCGAGACCTTGTCGGGTAAATCTAAATCTCGCCGAGCTAGATAATGAAACATTGTGCGTATAAAATAATCAATCGTTTCAATACTTATTTTTTAAGATAGTTACGATAAGAATGATAATGTTTGATGCATTTTAATGACACTTCATCATCGATAGTTCAATTCACTTTCGAGATACGACACGTTATAAATAGACGAGATGGCAAGATGGCGGCTGAAATTCGAGGATATACCGTGACCTACTTTTCCTTTCAGTAGCTGCTTACTTACTACATACGTGTTACGTTGCTCGCAAGAATAGGAAAAAGGTATGAGTCAGCGCGCTGTCGCTGACTACTTATGCCATCTGTGTTTAGGATAGGTCAGTGAGTGGGCGCAGGCGAGAGAGGCGCGACAAGGACACGGATAGTGGAGCATTTAAAATTACACCTCGGTTTGAACGATGATTCGAGATTTAACAGCGTTTACGAAGAAGAATTTTTTCATTCGTATGACGCTCGAATTGTGGAAATATTTGAGATAGATCAGAAATTATAGTTAATTAAACTTCGCCAAGATTGAGATTTAAATTGATCGATTAAACGATTATCCATTATACAATATTCATAAGCACAAATTATACACTTTCCGTAAAAACTTGATTTACGCTGTGGAAAATAATTTCATTGATAGTCATACCCGATTTATTTTCGTTTCGATAACGGAATATTATTTTCACGTTTTCCGAAGTGAATGAATTTCGAGAAAAAGAAGAAGAAGAAAAAGGGAAAAAATAAACCATGGAGCAATTAATTTCAGCAATATCATCGAACAACAGCGTGAAGATCGAGCGGAAGCGAGGAACGTAACGCGAAAACGGCATACACTCGTGGCGATCGATAGCGACACGGATGCCTCTGGCGAGCCTTTTCTTCCCGAAACTTTATTCTCCTGGTTGCTGAAGTCGATGGAAAAAAAAAAAAATTGCTCGTTAAATTAAATTCCTGCGGTGGCTCGGGTACACTGCCTAGCGACCTGACTTCGGATAAAATCGGGCATGCTTTTCAATTTGGCTAGAATCTCGTCTAACGAAGTCGATACATCGCTGTTTTATTCGTATCAAGTAACGAAAAAGAATTTTTGATTAAGGATGTCGCTTGAAGTGGCAAATATTTTTACGTTGAACAATTTTATGAATATCATTCGTACTTCAAACAGTTTAGGGGACAATTATTATATTTCTTTTAAACGATCCAACACAATACGTGAAATATTATTATATTTATATCCTAAAATTAATAATCGATAATTATAATACATATATCATTTATTAAAATCATGATTGACTCACCATAATTGCGTAAGTGGTGTCCACAGGTAAGTTTCTGTCGTTCACAAAATTATCACAATATTAAACGGTCAATCATCTAAGAATCGGATACCATGAAAATTCTCTTCCCACAGCACCTATAATTTAAGAAAAATTTAATTGTAACAACTGTTCGATGTCGATCGTGTCTTCATGAATTTTTTTTCAATTATATTCACGATTCAATCTTTCGAAATAAAAGCTCGACAATCAAAATGCCTGATAAAAGCGTAAAAACCGTTCCAAATTAAAATCGTCGAGAGGCACTCAAGATGTCAGTGCAAGCTCTTCCTTATTCACGAGGTTCATTTCACGAAACACGTACAAAGAAGGCTTGGTTCGAGGTGGGCAAAGACATTCCTGAAGATGTCCTCCACACGTCCTCCTCCATGAAATTCCAGGTCGAGTTGTGCCTGAATTTTTCATTAAATTAACGACGCAACAGGTTCGCGTATACCGCGTGTCGAAGAGAATTGTTTAAATGTTGCACGAAAAAAGGAGAACGGATCCCTCTCTTTTTTTCCAACCCTCTTTCCCAACACACCCTTCGACCCTCCTTCCCTGGCGACGAATTAACAAGCAACAGGTGAGTCCCTGCCCTGTCCGGGCATAACTCAACGAGACGGATATTTCGAATTTTTCCTGAATCCTCCTCTTCGTCTCTCCTGTCGTCCCTTTGTCGCGTTTCTCGAACGAACGAACGAACGAACGAATTCCTCTCGCGGCGCTCGATGGAGAAGGACGTGGTGAAGTATCGTGCGATATTGTCGGCCAACAATTTGGAATAGTTCCAGGGATCATATGGGATACTCAATTTTGTTAATGATTTTTTTCCGCATATTTTTATAGGTTAATTAAACCTTAAGGATAGAAAAGATTGGAAGAATTAAATTTTGTAAAAAAAAATATTGTGTTATGGGTGAAATATGTTTATAGAAGTCAAAACAAAAGTAAAAATTGTTGATGTACAGAAATGGTCGAAGCTTATTTATTTATTATTAAGATGTAAGTAAATTAGGTTAGATAGAGCGAGATGGAGATAGAATGACACGTTGCGCCGCGCTGTGGCGGTGTACAGAAGATAAAACTGTCTCTGTCTCGTTCTGTCTAATGCAAACTTTTCAGAGTTTCTTTATTATTCTTGATTGTTTATTTTTTTATATATAATTCACGTTATAGATATTGATTATACGAAATCTTTATATTTATTAATCGTGAGTAAATATTTTTTATAATCAAAGAAAATTTTATTGTTCTACTAACACGTTTAATTAAATGATTAAAGTAATTATTGCTTGCATTCTGCAGCAAAAAACGTAACAAGAATTTATTTCATGGTAATTTTACACTCAGATAATTAAAATTCATGTTTAGAATATCTATTACACATGTTATTGTTATTATACATGTAAAACATGATCGATTTCACGAATGCTAAAACAAAATGTTTTAGAATTTAATGGTTAAATGCACTGTAAAGTAAATTTTATTACACATTCATTTGGAACACAAGAATTAATAGAATTGACAACGTGATAAATTATTTGTCAATTATTCTGTTACAATGTGAAATAGTAAATTCACAAGTGAAAAATATTATTAATTGAAATATTAATCCAAATGTTGCATTTGAAAATTAAGAAATATACATTGATTTTTCAGCCATTCAACAAGAGAGTCGATAATTCGAGAGATATCGAAGATCGGTAGAGACAAGAAGAAAGAAATGAAAGAAACGAAATATTCCTGGACAAAGGAGATGAGCTTTCTGAATGAAACAGGCTCGAAGGGATTGAAACGATAGCCGAGTGAATTCCTTTCTCTCTCTCTCTCTCTCTCT